CATCGCCGCCGGTTGGCTCACCGCGGCCACCAGCAGCCCGGCGTCGCTGTCCACCGACGCCCACTCCGGCAGCTTCGCGCTGCTGCTCAGCGCCCCCAATGGCTTCGATGCCTCCATCGCCCTGCAGGACTCGGTCGGCCACGGCGGCCTGCCGCCGCTGACCGCCGCCAACGTGGGCGACACCCCGTGGCTGACCTTCTGGGCCAAGGGCGATGCCAGTACCACCGGCAACGCCTTCGTGAAGCTGCAGTACTTCACCGCCAGCGGCAACGTGCTGGCGCTGGACCGCCAGTTCCAGACGCAGATCAACCCCGGCGGCTGGACGCAGATCAGCTTCCAGGCTGCCGCCATTCCCGCGGGCACGACCACGCTGTTCCTCGAGATCGGCACGGCGGTCGGCCCCATCCTCGACGGCCGGCCCAATGCCGTGCTGGTGGATGACCTCCAGTTCATGCTCACCACTGCCGCCGTCCCCGAGCCCGCCAGCTTCGCGCTGCTGCTCGCGGGCCTGGCCACGGTCGGTGCGGTCGCCCGCCGTCGTCGCGCCTGATGCCCTGCCGGAGAACCGCCATGACGCACCCCACCTTCCATCCGCTCACCCGCGCCGTTGCCGCGCTGCTGCTCGCCGGCCTGACGGCCCACGCCAGCGCCACCGGCATCGTCGTGCACGACAGCTACGGCCCCGACATCAACCAGCTCAACGGCTGGCCCACGCCGCTGTTCACCGGGCAGGACATCGCCATCGCCTTCAGCCTGAGCAGCGCCGGCACGATCGAGTCGCTGCTGACCTCGGTCGACGGCACCGGCACCGTCACGCTCGGCATCCTGCCGCGCACCGGCGCGCTGCCCACGGCCGCCGGCTGGCTCTACAGCGCCCAGCTCACCGACCCGTTCGCCAACACGACGCTCAGCCCCACCGGCTGGTCGCTGGCGGCGGGCAACTACTGGCTCGTCGCCGTGGCCGGCGCCGATTTCAGCGGGCAATGGCAGAGCGGCACCGACTCGCCCAACGGCGCCTGGGCCTACTCGGCCGGCAGTAGCTGGACGGCGATCGACTCGCCCTTCACCGGC